AACTCTGGTGATACACCTCTCTATAATCTACGACTGAATCAATGATCTAGCCCAAGGTGACTAGGACTCTGTAACAGAATCTTCTCTAAGCTCCAGGGGAGCCCAACCATGATACCAACACATTTTGGTCTTTTCTGTGCAAATATAAGCCGAACCACATTTTATCTGTAGCATGAAATCTGTAGAAGGGCTTACAGAGAATAACATCTCCATTGACACTGGCAAACCATATGAACCATAACAAAGGAAACTAATTGCATTCTGTATGTACTTTGCAAAAGAAAGCAATGTGGTGTAGGCCRCAGGAAAAGGTTCGTTAATCACCTAGTCACAGTCTCCTTTAAATAAGAATGTAGTTTAATTCCCAATAGCAAAATATTCTTAGCCTTAATAATAAATTCCAAGTAAAGAGGTCCAAATCTTGTACAGATAAAAAAAGATAGTCGTGCTGCTTAAACATGTCTATTGGCAAACAAAATAAAATCTGGGACAAATAAAACACTGAAGTATACTTAAGCAGCATATTTTATATGTAAGCCATATTTAGAAACTAAAAAGAAAAAAAGCAAGAGGAGATTTAAGCACAACCACATTGCTTTAGTTATTTACATWATAAAAATAAAAATGTAGAGAATTACACCCACAGCAGAATGCTTTTATGGTGAAGATATTCATGTCAGACTATGGATTATATTTGTTTGTATTTCTAACAGTCAGAGCAGGTAAGCAATCATTAACTTGTCAAATAACAGATAAAGGCAGCATTGCACGCCAAGGCAGGTCATCTTCCACCTTATTCAGCTGGCTTTCAGATGGTTTCATCATCACTCATATCCCAGATCTGCAACAAAAAAAGCATGTGTCATTTCACTTTGGAGTTCAAATATGTTTCTAATATACCTTTTTGAAATCAGTGTTGCTTTATAAAAGGAACCATATCATTTATAGACTGCTGACTAGAGCCAATGGAGCCTAATACTCAAACCAATTCAGTGTTTTTTCCTGATTACTTAATCTGCTCACCAAATATTCTTGAAAACTTTCCGGCTTATTTTAATATATACCTTTCAGCATTTGTTCCTGATCTGTCATTTTGAGTATTTGCTATTCATTATCACTTACAGATCACTATAGAGCAAKTACCTATTTTCTATTTGCTTGCTGACACATTGGCACATACTTAATCCAGAAAATAACTTGCAATACATAGTGCATTTCAATTTTTTTAAGACATCCATGAAGAAATAACGGTTCTCTGATATTTGATTTTGCACTCAAATATTAAAATCTCATAATGAGCAGCATAATGATGAAAAAGTATGTGCAAACTTGTTCTTTCTTGCTGTTCAAYACATTCAAAAACCATAGGCATTATTACTGCAATAGGATACAATTGTATTTCTACTTTACCCAGTGAGCGCTCAGGAATTCTCAAGACCCTCATCATACTAAAATGAATGTTATAAATTCATACTCACTGCCAGGGAGAATGCATGACAGTAAAAAAAAATGCAACTAGAAAAATCAAAATATAACCTTATTCTGAACACACTCYACAAGATTTTTTTCTCTTGAAACAATGCTCTTGTTCTTCTTTTCTTATTTAAAGACTTTTTCTGAGGCTTAACTCATTGCTACACAAATAGAAATACCCTCCTTCAACTTGGCAGGACTGCCTTAGTTTGGAATCAGGGCAAACTACCAGGGCTACATAACCTRAAGCTGGATTCAGCTCAGAACCATTTGGTTCTGACCACTTGTACAGCAAACTCAGGTCTGCCAGCAGGAAGGCGAGAGTATGTAAATACTTTCTGAATAACATTTGAGCAATTTTAAAAACATTCAGAGTTCAATAAAAATTGCACATTTAATAGAAAATTTTACAATAGAGAAAATAAAGATAATTAGGGTGTACCAAGTCTTGGTAATATTCTCAAGTTTTTATATGAGATAAACTAATTCTGTTCACAGAACTAGCTCACTTAAGTGTGCATTTTCCTCCCTAATAAAAAAAAAAGTAATTTTGTTRTATGAGAACAAAAAATGACATCCAAATTTTTTTCCAAATATTCGAATTTACGTTGTCTCTCACATTTGTGAGATGAAAAAAAATGGACAACTTTGTCCTTCGCTATTTCCAATTTATGAACAAGACAAATTTGCTGTACTTTGTAGCACTGTATTTATCAATTAACAAGCACAGGCTTTGTGCCCAGAACCCTGGCTCCKCACTGGGACATTATCATTTCTGTTGTCCTTGTGGAAAATCAACTCAGTCTCTCTCTCTCCCAGGCTGTACTTTGCTGGCACTGAAATATTCTCTCATTTCACATCCTGACCACTGAGAAAACATCTATCAAGAGAGAGACACAAGGGCAGCATATTTTTAGGCTGCAAATTCTTCAGAGCACCAAGCAGCACTTTACATATGTACAGTTGCTGCCTGCTCTGCAAGTATGACTGCTAGACAAATACTAAGCACAAACCAGAACGTTTCCAGACAATGAATATTTACCTCCAACTTTAACTTATTTTTTAATAGCAAAGTTCATATTTCTGGAGTTTGGAAACATTCTGTAAAAAGCAATTCACATCTGACTCCCAGAAACTATTACTCACATTAAATCAGGCATTCTTATGCAGTACTACAGGCTACACAAAATGAGAAGTCTGATCATCAAGGTTTTCTCAATTCCTAGAAGCGCTGCAAAATGGTGGTGCACATCCTTATGGAAAATACTGAAGGAACAGCTTGTTTACAAAAGGAAAAAAGAGTKTTCATCCTGCCTAGATGAGCAGCCTGGAGCTTGCCAAGGCAAATAGAAATGTCCAGCTCACCAGTCAGGGTCAAGGATGTGGAAAATAAATACAAAAAAACAAAACCTTTAAATAGAATTTACGGTATGATTCAAACTGGCAAAAAGAAAGAAATTCAAAGTTCAGACTGATAGTCTGTCTTTGACTAGCCCACTCTAATTTTTGGGAAAAAATACAGACAAAACAAAAACCCCACAGATTTTTAACCCTCAAATATCTTCCTCTCTGACACAGAAACTCTTAAGTACTTTTCAATTTGCTTGTTTTGCCACGCATCTCATGTACAACTCCAGCTGTGGAATCACGCTGTGTTTTCAGTTCTCTTCTATCTTACACTTGGGTGAGTCAAACGAACTGCAGCTAGAGTTAATGACAAGGGAGGTTATAAAGCAGGACGATAATAAACCAGCTGTCAAAGCTATCAGTGTTTGTACAAACCTGGACTACCTAAATGCATGTTTCTTCAYGTACCTCATATCTATTCAAACTTCTGTGCAAGAGTTCTTAGATTTCAGGTGCAAATTATGCCTCTTCAGGAAAAGAGAAGAATTTTTGCACTTGTTCTCTTGAAATGACAAGTATTATTCCTTACATAATAGGGAGGATGGGAAAAAATAAAACCCTTGTGCATTAAACTTCATTGCTCACAATTTTCCAGTACAATAAAACCTACCGCATAGAGAATATTTCATTTCCTTCCTGTCACAGTAAATACCTAGCACCTGAAATTTAACTTCCGTGACAATGGGACTAAACAGAG